ATCGAAAGTTTAAATCAATGGCGTTGCGTAAAAATGAGATAACTGATATTTTTGTGATTTTACAAGAACAGCATTTTAAGGTTTGTATAACTATACCAATTTAAAAACTTAAATTGTTGATAATATGATATTTATAGTTTTTGATTGTGTAAGATACACTTTAATAGTATAATTATTATTTATTTTTCTTGACTAGACTAACAAAAACTGAAATACATACATGCAGTATGCGTAAGCACATATTATACCTTCACCTATCACACATGTGCTCTATAAGCTATTTAAAAATTCGATTTGGTTTGTATATTGTAGAACATTGAGCTTATAAACTACCTAATATATTAAATAATATTTACATGATGATACATATTAATATTATATGATATAATATTATAAAGTTAACCTACGAACGATATAACCTATAGGTAAATGTATCAGCGTTAAATCATATACCATGTATACAATGAATATACCAGGAAAAAATGTCTACGGTGAAAATTTCAAGTTTACTATTTGAATCGATAAGCACAAATTCTGTGTGCCTTTGAACCCTTGTAATGATCCGTTCACCATTTCATCCAAACATATACGGTAGCAGTTTACCTACAAACTGCTTGGCTCGCATTCCTATACGCCCAAGTTTTGGTCTACAAAGGCGGGACAACATTTACCTGGCCTGAAATTTGTGTTAATTAACCGAACGGTTTACGATTTTCTCGACCACAAATGTTTATGACTTGTCCCAGTGTTCGATGGGAGGATCCAATCTCGTATATTGGAAACAAGCATATGTATAGAGTGTGTTTGTGTGTGTGTGTGTGTGTGTGTGTGTGTGTGTGTGTGTGTGTGTGTGTGTGTGTGTGTGTGTGTGTGTGNGAGTGTGTCCAAGCCAATTAAGCTAAATCGAGTGACGACTGCAGACGATACCGAATGCTACCGAACACAATAAATAATATATATCGTTATAAATCCTGGTAAATTATATTTTTGTTTTGCAAAAAATCATAATTCCAGTAATACGTAGCAAACCAAACATAATGTTTGAACTATGTTACAGTAAATTAAATTTTAAAACTTTTATTTTACATTGTTTAATATTTTATTTCAATTTTTTTTTTATTAGGTATTCCAATGGCATTTTTAAAGATTATATTATAAATTAAATTCACATCCTGAATTGTAACAATATATAATAAATATATTTAACTTTGATATAATATCTAAATAAGTATATATTTTTCTAAAATGTTATATGCACCGCACTTAAAGCATGTATATACTAATACTATACCTACATTATCTTAAAAACTTATAATGACTGGGGAAAAAACATATAAAATATACATTTTTATAAATCTAAATAGTTTTTGAATTTAAAAGCTTATCATACCACTGTATTTTAAATAATGGCAAGCGCCAAGCTTAGCGAAGTAAGATAAGTGTCCAGTACCCTCATTTATGTTCGTTCCGGAAGTATCTACTTTTTATATTAATTTAACCAGTTTTATAAACATAAGTTAAGAAAGTAAAATACTCCAAAAATTACTACCATAATGCACATCTGTTTATTTTTATACTTCGTGTCTACTAAAAACGTTATGGCTAAGTTAAAACCATGTACAATAAACCTGGAAAATATTTAAAGTATTTGGAGTTTTTTTTTTTGTAAATTTCTAAAATATTATAAGGTTCTGCTGAGCTCATTGAAATGTATACCATAACTAAATTATAATTGTTATATAATTTAAATTTTAGAAACATAAAACAACTGTATTTTAAAATAATGATTTGTAGTTATATTAGTATATTTTGGAGTTTCAAATACTCAAGTAAGATGATAATTTAAATAATTTATTTTGAGACACAAACTACTATGTAAATAACTGTGTGAAGAGGCCTAAATTATAAATGTTGAAATACAAAAAATGATACCTGTATGTATGAAATTACAACTTATAAAATCCAATCTATGAGAAAATGTCTTCGCGGAAATATGACATCAGGTAAATAAAATCAAATATTAAGACAATATAATACAATAATAATTGTCATACCTATACTTTTCATGTTTAAGAGCTGTTTTATTATGTGAGACCATTATATATTACAATCATTATTATAATTACACTGAGTGTCGATGAGTCCAACCTTGAGTTGTATTACCATTACTATTTAATATAATATAATAATATATATATTATTTCATGTTTAAAATATGTAATTGCTCTTACAGCCATATTATAAAATATTTATCATACTCCATGAGTAAACACGAAGTACTTCGTTTTTAAGGCCAAATAGTGTAATATGGTTGTACTTAGATACGTTACTGTCTATGTTAAACTAATTAAGGTTTAAAAAAAGGAAAATAAAAACGTTTTGAAATTTTCGTTTATTGGTGACACTAAGGATTCAACAAGTGTCAGTAACGCTGTAAAGTAAGAATATAATTTCTAAGGAAGATAAGTACTGGGTACATATCAGATTATTTATTTACCTATTTATTTATTTATATAACTATATATTCCCACAATCGGACTTCGAACAGTTTTTTTTTCTTTACTTATATAACAAAAATAAAACATAAATTATAAGCAAATTAACTTAATATAAATCTATTAAGTTTTACATATTATAAGAAAATACTTAACAGAATTGTTAACATTCAAATAATATTGATTTCAGCCTGATTAATTAAGTATCATGGAAAAAATCGAAATTATTGATTGAGTTATCAGAAATTAGCATACTATTCATCGATGAGAATCGACTTTAATTATTACGATAAGTAGGTACATAAAACAATGGTATAATAATAGAAGCTTACGATTTTAGACATACCTATATATCATACATTTTATTTTTGATGAGTATTAGATAAGAAGGGAAATTGCGTGCATCTAAAGTCTTCCAACAATATATGTATTATAGACTATTAAATCTGATGGCAGACAAAGTAGTAATCGACTTTTAATTTTTATTGCTATTCACTCCCTCATTTTATTTTACTTTGTCGTTGAAAAAAGTTATACTTTTTTTATTTACATAGTGAAAACTGTTACCGAGTTATTATACACTCAATTCAACGCGTCTTTAGAAAAATGGCATTTTTTCCGGAAATTAAGAGTAAAAAGTTTTCTTTTATTAAAAATTCTGTCGCGTTCGTCCTAACGACTTCTTCTTTCATTATGGCAGAAATAGAGAGAAAAAACACTGGAAAGGCACTAGAAGTCAGTGGCCTTTTTTATCGTTTATAAAACAATAAAATAACATAATATAATATTAATATTATATTTAACATAACAAAATAGACAAACCATTTTTCTTTTATTGAAATTTTCGAAATATTTATCAACCCCAATACCGAAACTTCCTTTCCTACACAACACAATATTATATTATTCTTCATTAGTATCTAATTTAGCTACTTATCGAATTGTATTCGCATTGTCGATCAAAAAAGGTATCACGTCCATATTATGCTAAATTTGCACAAATAATAAACAGACTCAAACCAAATTATACAATTGTTTTCAAACGAAACTTTTCCCTTCCAATGTACATTCATCCTTTGTACTAAAACTGTCCAACAATCGTACTTATGCATACAATTGATTAAAGTATGAATGAAGTTAGATAAAAAAAAAATGTTTAAAAAAAACATGGTAAATAATATTATATACCACTGTTTGCGTTAACTATGAAAAAAATCACAAAGTTCATTCTACACTTCTGAATCCATATAAAATAATTGTAAATAGACAAAGTCTTATACAAAATAAATCACATATTACATAATTTAAAAGTTCAACATGTAGTGGAAATATCAAAATATTTTAGATGTCTAAATAAATACTTTTTCACTCTTTTAATTTCAAATAATATTATAATTTGTACATAATATATGTATTGTTATATATACAGGAGCAAATATTTCTTACTATGTACTGATGTTATCGGTAATTATATTATATTTCATTAAAATTTGCTTAAAGATATTTATAAAGGCAAAAAAAAATACTTTCAAATCTCAATAAATACTACAACATAACAATATCAAAGTAAATATAACTAAGCAAATATCCACCCACCAGAATGTACATAAAACCCATGAACCTCACATATCAGTTTCTATGGAATATTTAAAACTGCATTTTACCCGACATGAGGAAAATATTCTTTTTGTATTCCATAGTTAGTTTCAATAGATGCATTAGAGTTTTGTAGCTTATAAAGGACTAAATATATTATTTCATATCTGTTTAATTTATATTTAAATTATGTATCTAATACTTTGACAGAAAGACTCGTGTTAGTTATGAAAAAAAAAACAAGTTTTAACATTCAAATTTTGATTATGTCTTCGATAATCCTTTCTAAATTGAATTGGTAAACAAAATGTAATTGGATTTTCAGTGTAATCAAATAAATTGATTTTGACAAAAACAAGTATTTGGTTTGAAACCTTGTCCATAACAATTATGAATGACAATAAAAATTGTTAAAAACAAAAATAATTAAATAATTTACCCTAGAATTCAAATTTAAAAAATAATTAAGATTAAGTTTAAAGTAAAATCTAATTAGCCTTGAAAATAACAGACATTTCAAATTATTTCATTCATTTTAAATTTATATTGCTACCTATGTATTTATATCTATTTTGATATAATAATAAGTAATACGAAGATTTATTTATAACTGAAAAAACATAATACATGTATGTAATAACATTTTTATGTCAATGTATTAGTAAATAAATACTAATTATTAATAATCATTGGGGATATTATATTCATATATTTGAACTCAATTTTTTACATAAAATTAAATATTTGAATAAACTGTATATACGTTATAAGTGAACATATTTTAATTCACATATGGTGTTCACTGTAGAAAGTGTACTTTCATACATTGTAATTATATTATATATTATAACATTTTTAATTTATTATCTTTAAAACGTTTAAATAAATTCTGAAATACTTATTACTTACGTTAGAAATTTGACTCAATTTTTGATTCACAGGAATTTACTAGACAGTATCTGTAATGATAAAGTACAATTTCTCTATTAATAACAAATTATGCTTAGTTTACACTGTTAAAGAATAAACGTCAAATATTCGGCTTTATCTATTTGAACCTTTATTAAATTCCAAGCTCCATTTAAAAATACAAAGAACATAATACACTTATTGTAATATTTATTTGCTTCTATGCTATATAACTTTAGTCCTATGTAAAGTTCTTAATTCTAAAACTATACAGCATTTTAAGTCAATATGTTTTAAGCTAAATAACAGGAAAATAATGGAATATTACAAATGTGGCCCACATTATAAAGAACTTTTTTCTAAAATTGAATAAACTTGCTTCTTTTACCTACTTTAAAAGCGTATTAGTTTAGAACCACTGGAATCATATTATAAATAGCCTTGCATCGAGATAAATTATAGATCACTCTCTATGACACGTAAGTGGACATCGTCCCCGCGTGTGTTTTTTTCGTCTTACTAACACATAAAATATCAAAATGTACATCCAGTAGTCCAGCAGTTCCAATTTTGCTTTGTTACCTTAAGTATTAAAGTAAATTGGCGTATTATACGTATTATATAAAACTTAAACGTAATAACATTATCAGCATTATCTTGTTGGCTTTTAAGATATTTTAATTTTAAGTGAGCTATAAGTAAGTAATAATACTTGAAAATTATCATAATTCACTTAAAAAATTAAAATATCATAAATGCCAACGACACGGATATTGTTCATACATTGAAGTTTGATAATATGTCAGTTTACTCTGTAATATTTAAGCTAACAATACTTAACTGAAAATTTCGAATGTACATTTTGGTACTTTATGCGTTACTTAGGCGGAGGCAACATATTCGTCAACTTAAAAAAAATGGTTTAACTCCTAATCTCTACTTAAATTTTTTACTTGGCGCGTCTCTAATTTTATCCAACTCCGCCTCTCGTGTATTGAATCATGGATTCAAATTATGCTATATTTATCAAAGTACTGTTTGTATAATATCATTTACAGGATGTAAATTGACAATTATATTTATATAAGTTCTTAAAAATAAATAAACAAATAAATAACTGCTATATCAGAAAAATAATGAATATATAGTATACACCACACAGATTGTTTTTAACACAAAATTCCACTACTGTTAGTTACAAATACTATTATGTTTCTTAAACAGTTAAAATTGTTTAAGGTACATATGTCACACAATTTTAAAATATAATGTAACACTGTATCTTTTACTTATACTAAAATACTACGTATAAAGAATAAAATAGTAATAAACAGTATAAAGAGATAAGATTTTTTTTTTGTAAATTTTGAAAATAATTGTTTAAATTAATTTCACATGAAGTATTTTTTTTGTATAAATACAGAAAATGCAAAATTATTATTATTTTGAACGAGTACTGTGAAGTGAAATATCTATTACAAAAAAAATGGCTTTAGTATTAAATGTATCATTAAGTTTACACAAACTAAGAAGTTACTCACATTTTGTATAATAATAACTGTAACGCATGGAGATAGAATGAAACTCAACAAACTTTATGTCACTTACCCTATTGAACTTTCTTAACAATTGGATAATAAAAAGAAGTTTTTCATTTAATTTTAGTGTACTCAGCGTTATCTTGGAATTTATGTATTTTATACAAAACTATATGTGCTTAAGTTTACTATTGATAATCTGGAATACTCTTGAACTAATTATTTATAATGAATTGTATGAGTATACAGTACATTTTCAAAAAAAAATAAACTAATATAGAAATATAATTCAATAAGTAACATAATATTTAAGTTCAAATGTATGAAACCAATACATGTAGCAGGGAGTAGAAATATTAATTATTCCATATTCTTAAACAATTAAAAAAGTATTATAATGATAAAAATGTAATTCATACTAGGTATTTATTTTACAACAATTCTAAAGTTATAAAATTTTGTTCAAAAATATAGCTACTGTAGAAAATCATTTAAAAATATGAAAGATATTTAAATGTTCTATTTTCAGTTCTTAATTTGATAGATTACTAAATTCATAATCAACTAACTACTATCAAGCTGCAAGAAACATATTATACACTGTTATAATATACGAACTTTACATATTTATTATAGTCGCATTAGTATACATTATCAGTTGACACAATGGTTATGTTGCTTGCTAGTTGAAATTTAAAGACCATTAAATCTGTGATTACTGTCTTGGACACTGAAGTCCTCGATTTATAAGCTAATTCCCGGGGTATAACGACATGGATTGGAAAATCCCATATTACACAAGTTTTGGTCAATGGCAAAGGGACGTCTAATGAGCTCAACTATGAACCCAAATGTTCTTATTATCCCCTCGATAAATCGCTATAATAAAATTATTTCCCACCATAAAATGATTAAAATATACTCAATATTGATAAATATAAATCACGGTTATTGCTTGACAATATCTGGTTATTTTTGTACCTATTTATTTTATTTTATTATCTTATTTTTATTAGTTATAATATTTATATTATTATTTTACTATATTATATTAGTCATAGTGTAAAATTAACCACTAAGTACCACCCGTTTTATTCAATTATTTAATTATTTGTATTAACATTATTATTATTATTATTATTAATTTTTGAGAGTACGAAGTTAAAACACATACAATTATTCCTGATTTAGTGAATATCCCAGTAAAAGAATCAGAGAAATGACGGAATAAAAGATTTAATTACATATCTTTTAAAAAAACAAATATTTTATAATTTAAAAGAGATCAAAAAGGAACCATAGAAAACTCACCCTAATTCATATTTTGGTATTTGTTTTAGCTGTAAATATTATCATGCATACAGTGTAAGACTACTGTTAATGCTGTAAACTAAACTCTGCATAAATTAATAATGATTTAATTTAATTTCGTTTTCTGTTTTGCAAGGTATAACTGTATAAGTACACCTCTAAAGAATAATAACACACATGCATATATATATATATATACGGTTAAATATCTACTTAATTATCCAGTTTCTATTAGCTCTTCAACTGTAACATATTGTTTGTCCACAAAACGCTCAATACAATATAATATTTGTGTAATATAATGTTACACTTATATAACATTCATTTATAATATTTACAACGTGTGACTAAAAATAATTTCGTATACTGCATATTTTCTAATGTTTAAAAATTAAAAATTAAAAAAATATAAACTCGGTAGTTATTCAAATTTTTCGAAGTTAAAGATTAGATGCCCAGTTTATGTGGTGAGATATTTGAAATAAAAATCAATTATCATAGTATGGAAAGTAATGGAACTACAACCGGAAGCGTAAATATTGGTTGGTTTCCAATAGCACGTACAAAACGAGGACTACAAAATGGAAAACTATTCCTTTTGTACTAATAAGTAGTATGGGCTCTCTAGGGTTTTCTCCGTAGAATACCTTTACTCTTGTTTTCCATCAACGTACGTACGTACCTGAAACACAATTCTTTTTTCTGAAAATCGATTTTCCTTAAACTTCTGTTTTCCTAAGGGAAAATCTAAACAATTTTAACATTATTCCCCTCATTCGTCGTTTCCAACCTTTTTTATATTTATTTTTAAAGGGCAAAGTAACTAAATTACGTGTATTTTTTTATACAACTGTCTTGTACGTGAAGGTCAAAGCCAATCGTTACGGTCCACCTTTTACGCCATATGTTGAAATTGACCACCAACAGTTATTTGTACCAAAAGAGCATTTCAACTTACTAATCAATTCACTGTATGTTATGCACTAATGTTTATTCAAGTATCGTATGTCTGCTGTGGATCAATAAACTTACAATATCTCGTAAACTGACTATAGGTATGTATTCCGATATAACCGATAATAATTAACTAAACTCTACCGAAATTATTTACAATTCCCTTGCAACAGGCGATTACTTGTATACGTTGTCAACTGAAGTGATTACTGTAATATTTTGTGAAATTAATTTTTCTTGGTAGTAATTTTGCAAAGTAAAAATAAAATTATTAATTTTTCCCATGTACCCAATATATAAGTAAATTAGAATTTGTGTATTTTGAGTTACAGAAATACGTTACTCATGAATACAACAGTGGCCTACATAAATTTATCTAAAAAATACATAAAATATAATACTTATAATTTGATTCTTCTTGTATTCAACTTTTTTATAAATTATATTGTATTATACTTAGAGTTCCTAAGGCATAGTTGAAAATCCCACAACATGCTATGATTTATTTGTTCAAAATGAAAATGAAATTGATTTTCGACTTATAAGAATAATATTTTAAGTTCCAATCTTCATGGATATTCATGATTTGATATCCAAACGGTTTGTATACAAGCACTCACACACACAAACAAAATCCTTCATACTTACACGAATAAATGATACATATACAGTATATATTATATACTTTATATTTATACATGTGTGCTGAAGCTTATTCGTATTCTGACCATCGGGTATGTTTCCGTGAATAACTGCTCAACAGATTTTGTTGATACGACACCACAGGGATCGTAGGTTCAGGTATATTTGCACAGTGGTTTTCCCTATGGGAATAGACCCTCCTCAAAACTTCGAAACCATCCGAAGAATTAGGCACGTAGTTGCTATTTGCTAAATATTATGAATGGCCATTAAGCGTTAACGATTGTGGTGCAAAAATAATTGTTATTTTCCTAATTTCATAAATTACAATATTATTGATTTTTACAGTTATTTATTTTATTTCAATATGTCTAATATTCAATAGACAAATCTGTATGATACAATACATTAAAAAAAAATATTATACAGTCATGGAGATAGATTATTAAAAATAATTAGTTAATACCTAGTAAGGCCATCGTATACTGCCAATTATAAGGGTTGAACAAATAATGTATAAATACCCACCGAGTCTCTGGGAATCGATTGATAAAACTTTTATTGAAACGATCAAGTAGTTTTTGAACCCATAGAGGACAAACAAT